CCCCCCCCGCGCGCGCTGTTGTTGTTTTTGTACTGCTCTTCTTGTCACTTTGCCCTTCTCTGACGGACAATGCCCACCTAGCCCATCCGACTCTCACCAAACCAAACCCTACTGTGTAGTGATCCCTGACATCCCTATATAATCCTGAACCTACCGTCTCTCCTGTAAAAACACCACACACATGCAGGCTGGAGGCCTGTTTGTCGGGCAGACGATCTCGGAGCTGAACCTCTGCTCCAGCGTCGCCCTTGTTCTCTGCCTGCGTCCGAGGCTTCCCCAGACCCCTCTCGTGCAAGAGGCTAGCATGTCTCGCCGAGAGAAGCTCGCTGAGGAGTTGCTGGAGAATGGCCAGGCCAACGGCGACCACGGGACCGCTGAGGAGGAGAAGGGGCCGACGCTGGAGGAGCAGGTGGGGCGGTTTGGGGTGTGCTATCCTCCTCCTCCTCCTCCCCCCCATCCTTTATCTCGCCGTTGGAGTAACCCAATATGGTTTTGGGCTGATTCGAAGAGGGTGGTGGCACTGCTGTGGCGAACGCTGTTAAAAGTCCTACGAACTCCTATTCCGAGTTTCTGTTGCAGTTCTAGTTGATGGCGGGGCACGTGCGCGGGAGGCAGGCTCCTGAACGAAGACGTCATCTCCCATCATCTCCAAGTAGTGATGTTTTTGCACCGCGTGTTGCATATTTACTTGTTGAACAGCCGACCATCCTTCATCCTTATATCTCGCATTGGGACGGTTGTCGTATGTACGCCTTTGTGACACCCAACAGTCAGTTTGCGCGAGGGCTTCTTTTATCTTTCAAAGCCCAATGGGACCATAACGGCCTGTCTTCACTACCGTAACAGACTACCATACCCGTTGGCAGGAGAGCTTCTGCAGGTCACTCGTATACTCCCTTTCCCTTACCCTTACCCTTACCCTTAACCTTCTGATCGTTGTCCCGGAGCAGAAGCAACAGCTGCAGGAGGCCCAGCGGCAGTTGCAAGCGCTTGAGGCTAACTTGGAAGACATGCAGAAGAAGAGGGACGTCGACATTCGCGCCCTGGACGTGAGGACCGGGAAGGGGTGGGGTTGTTCTCGACTTTCGTGGCTTTCAATTTGGGTTGTATGATATGCATAGGGAGTTTTCTCATTCTGGTAGTCTGAAGCACGCGCATTTTTGTATATTCCATTTCATGTCGGGCGGCGGTTCGTTTCGGGCGGGTGCTTGCTGTGCGTGGTTCGGCTGCTGCCCTGATTGTTTTGAAATATCATAGCATGCCGAGCTGCGCTGTGGCTGCTGCTGCTGCTGCTGCTGCTGCTGCTGCTGCTGCTGCTGCTGCTGCTGCTGCTGCTGCCGCTGCTGCTGCACGTGGAAGGTGCATGGCAACATTTAATGTGTGATTATGGTTTAGTTTCTGACATGTTGGGGTCTTGAGTGTTTTCGTCCATGCCATGCAAGCGTTGTGAACGATACAGACGCCGTCGTGGACAGGCTTTTGAAGGCAGGCGGAAGGTGAAAGTTGGATGTTTGTTGTTTTTTGCAGATGCCATGCAGCAACATGTTGTCGTTCTTGTCTTTCCATCAATCTATCCTGTATCCAGCGTCTACTTATCCAGTCCAAATGTGTGCGTGGAGCGTTTCTGTATCCACTTCTCTTTCTTTACCAAAAACCGTTTTCGTGGTGACAAGGGCGACAAAGTATTGTAGTGAAAGCTTGCACAGCCCGAAAGCAATGACACAGGCCAATGGCAGGAAAAGTACTCTCTCGTCTTTCTCCATGTAGTGTCAATGCTACGCGAAAGGGCTGCCGCCGCTTGCCCCCCCCGAGTGCTGACATAATTGTGTGCCAACGCGCCATCCCAGTGTACTTGTAGCACTGTGCAGTGTTTGCAGGCTTTACTTCACCTTTACTTCACCGTGCTTTGAGTTTGTTTGGTTCGCGTCCTCCCCCGTAACTGCCAGTGAACGGTGCTCGGGTGTAGTCCAACCAACTGGTCCGTCGTGTCCATCGTAATGTTCAATACGCGGATGATAGTCACACTCGCGTATGATAGGCTGCCGTTTTGCTTTGTGGGAACTTCTTGTGCATGTCGCCGTGAACGAGTCATGCGCAAGTATTCCAATTCTTGTGTATTGAAGTCATGTGTGCGAGGTATGGGTCAAACCTATCACCACTGTCCTCGCAGGCAACGACAGTGAAGTTTGTGTTTGCTCGGATTCTTGATAAAGCCGGCGAATGGTGTCGGCAGCGCCTCTACGAGAATGTCCATCCCCAAATCTAATCCTCCCTGTGCGGCCGTGTGGACTGATTGTGTTTGATGTCACTATGTCATGATGACGTCAGCTGGGGTGGACGACCTACAGCAAGGCCTTGAAGAACACCCGCTCCCCGGAGCAGGACAGGTTGATGAAGACGTGGAAGAAGGAGCTCAACGCCAGAAAGGAACGCATCGACAACGCCCACCTCAAGGAGGTGAGGTGCTGCTCTTGTCTTGTCTTACTATTTACCGGTATGGTTGTGTTGGGATGGGGGTGGTATCTGTTGTAGCGTAGATTGGCATCGAGGACTACTGCTGTGGCATGCTGTCATCATGCCACACGTCGAAGGTTAAGATACGTCTGCTCTTCCTCTCTTACTCTCGTCCTGTGTCGCGATTGTCTGCGTGACCCACTCCCATCACCACTCACCAATCACCTATATAAGTACCACCCCTTGTAGTGTACACGTCGCCTGAGCCAGTTAGTGAAGGCATTTGTGTGTCTGTCCGTCTGTGTTCTCAATCCGTAGTCATTGGCGTACGTTGTCATCTCGTAGCCTCGCGTCGTGATCTATCTATCTATCCATCCATCCTTACCCCTTACACTTGCCGGTTTGTCCACTGCTGTCGTGCAATGCGCATGGACAACAACAACGATAACTCCTTCGACGACAATTACCAAAATAACGCACTTCCGTGTGGCCAGGAACGACCATTGGACAAAGAAGTCAAGGTAAGCCCTTTCACCACAAACGGGAACTCGTCGGGAGGCGCGAGTCTTGGATATGTATGCATACAAGCACGGTTATGATTACCGTCCTTTGTCTCAACCTTACACGTCGCCCGATGTTTCCAGCGGTGGGAATACAAGAGAGTAGGTAACCTTAACCTTGTCGGTGGTCTTATGGGTCTGGCTTGACCGAACATCGATGTTTGTAATATTGGCCCCCATGGACATGAATGCCTGCCTGGCTTCACCTCTTGGTTGGTCGTGTGTAGTGTGTACTTTTCCCGCATGTTTTAATGCTGCAACGTCGGAGAGCGTTATTGTTGCTGTTGGTAATTTTGTGATGATGGTAATGATACTGTTGTTGGTGACAACCTTGTTGTTGATGGTGTTGTTCTTTTGACAGTCGATGAAGATGGTTCATGTTTTTTGTGGTGATGTCGTTGATGCTGTTGTTGTTTTGACAGTCGATGAAGACCGCGGTGGAGAAGATGAAGAGAAGCATCAAGAAGGTGAGGTGACTCAAGTCAAGACGATGCTCTCTCTCTCTGTGTTTCTCTTTCTCTCTCTCTTGCTTGGTTTGGTATTGACGCTTCGTATTGAGGACGTGGTTCTTGAGTGTGGTGTAAGCTGGCAGCGAAAAGGTTACGGGGGACAACGTCCACGGTGTACAGATCGGTCTGCAAAATGATCTGCTGCTGATCTTGGACCAGTATTCCGTGGACCAGCATTCCGTTGTTAGCCCCATCATAGGAAAAGTAGACGTCGAAGGGACCGAGGTTGAGGTTCAGTAAAAGTCAATAAGGTGTCCAGCGTCAGCACAAAGCTCAATACGAAATCCTACATACTTCACAACCTATTTTTGGCTTGACTCGACCTTCGCCCCACGTAGGAAAGTAAGGAGGCTAGTCTAGCCCTGGTTTGTGTTTGTTTATGGTGTGGTCGATAGTCGGGGGAATGTCTTCGTTGCATGTGCGGCATGTCCTGGCATCATCCTGTCTCGCACGAAAAGACCCACGGCTTTTATTGTGGACTTGCTATAGCTTGTTGTGGTGTATGCTTCGTGTTGACCCTCTTACCTCTTGCCCCCGGGCTGCGGTGGTGTCAAGTAGACTGAGAAGGAAGAAGACAGGGAGAAAGCCGCTGCTCAGGGGCTGGAGTCAGCCTCGATCTTCACTCGCGTCAAGGGTGTACTCTTCAGCGGCGCCAAGGTGGGTTTCCCGAGCACGTACGGTTGTTCACTGTTTCCCCAGCACGTACGCATGTTCGCGACCACGGGACAACTGAGAAAGAGTTATGTACAACACAGCGGACAAGAACGCAAATTATTGACTGAGATGTTTTCACCAAGTTGCCTACAAGGTTTTCATTGTAGGCACTTTGCGAATAATCAAGGGCTCGTGAGTTATTTAGTGCATTTTTTTCGTTATGGCGTTTGGAACGTGCGGAATTTGGAACGTTGGAACAGCGGGTACTGCTGCGCAACTTTCATATGGGCGAACGAGTCGTTCCAAGGAGAAATGAATTGCGGCTTGTCGCAGAAACAGCGTCGCTCGCAGACCTCGAAACTGCCAACATTGGTTTCCTACCAAAAGTGGTGACTTCTCTTAAGAGTGCGCGTACGGGGCACGAATGAAGGGTAGGTACCACACGGAACCCCTACTCATCTCTCCCCTCTCCCCTCCCTGTCGATCCCCCAGCACACCCGTATCCCCAACTTGGTCCCTTGGTCCCTAAAGACGCGAAGGGAGGTTCCGAAAAGGCAATGTCGCAAGAAGGAGGTGTGCCACCGCCGTACTCTTAGAACCGAGTTACCTGACATTGCCTGACACAGGATTGACGATTGATATTTTGTGTTGCTACTGCTGCCTCTGCCTGTACTGCTGCTGCTTCCTCTGCCTCTGCCTTTGGTGGTGGTGGTCATCCCGCTTGATTTTTTTTTTTGTGGTTTGCCATCAGGCCACGTTCGGGTTCGGCAGGACAGACGACGCCCCGGACGACAACGCAAGCATCGCCATCGCCGCCGCACAGCTCAAGTCCAACCGGGAGCAGGAGAGCATCGCGATGGAAAAGGAGATGGACAAGGAACTGGAGGCCTCGGACTGGGGCGTTCCCAAGGCTCGCGGCAATGCCAATGTGAGATCACGCCCGAGTATAGTACGTGTCTCTTGTTGCTTGCTGGCGTTGTAGTTGGAGCTGCTATTGTAGCAGCAGCAGTATCAGTAGTTGTCAGTATTTAGTACAGTCGTCCCCGCTTTAAAGACACCATTTTTAAAGACACTCCCCGCTTTAAGGGCACAAAAAATCTCAGAAACATGGTGCCCCGCAGATATGAAAAAGTAGGGGGGGTAGGTTTTTCCGCCATTCGACCCCCCCCAGAAAATGTGCTGCAGCACCTGTAGATCCTGGATCATCAACAGCGGTCTGCTGCTGCCGCACACCGCGTGTGGGTGTATGGAAAGATTCATTCCATCTGCTAGCGGAGAAGAGGTCTTGAGGGATGAGGTAGAACTCGAGAAGGAAGAGGTAACGGAGAACATGTCCAACGTACACGTCGAGGAGGACGTGTCCAGTGAAGAGGAAGGCGATCACGGTAGGCCAATCGTGCATAAATCTACGATTTCAGAGGGCGAGGTTCGCTCTCGTCTCGAAGATGTTCGCTCTTACTTGACACACATGGAAGAGACGGCGAGTACAGCGAAACGGCGTACCTTCTTTCGAAGACTGTGCATTCGTTTAATCATGAATCTCAGGTCAAGCGAAGAGCAAAGGAGGGGGGGGAGATGCAGGCGACTCTTCGGGATATGTGGCGGGTGTAGTTTTTGGTTTCGAGAGCAAAGCACTTTTGTTGCCAACGTTCGTTGTTTGCCTTGGGTGAAGTCTCGTGAGGTTGAATTTGGCGTTTGTGTTGTGTTGTGCCTCGTTTTGACCTTTTGGGAGGCGCGGTGTCCTCTTTGTCGCTGTGTTTTCCCGACATTTTTGGTCTCTGTGTTTCTGCGTAACCTACATTTTCCTAGTGTCATTTTAGACTATAACCTTCGATATTTCTCAGGTGCGGTAGCGAGATCTTGGGCAAGATATTCACGGGGAGCACAACGCCTATAAAATAAAATAAAGCAAACAATTAAGCCCGTATCAACACCAGCGCACTACCGTCGTGTACATGTACGATGCGTAGGTCGTAGAACACCATCGCTTTCAGCGTTTTGGTGGTACAGTACGGGGAAATTCAAACGATGGTATGCAAGTATGTATTGCAGCACAATAGCAGCAGTGGTTGCGACCTGCAAATCACCTTGGTCGTAGGTTTCAAACAACACCTACCTCTTGTGGTCGCCTTTCTGCTGCGAATGCGCACCTTTTGACATATGTTTCGCCTTCAGTGGCCCCGGGGATGGTGCGTTAGTGGCCCCGGAATTTAAAAGACACTTCCCCGCGTTAAAGACACTTTTTGGGGGGGAAAACGTGGTGTGTCTTTAAAGCGAGGTCGACTGTAGTTGTTTTTATTGTCGTGTACCGATCAATGCCGCTGCACGCCGGGTTGCGTTTTAAGCGTGGAGGTGCGGCAAAACCCTGACTTTTCTTCCGATACAAGGCGCACAAGATAGCTTAGTGCTGGGCGATGAAGGACAAGTCGTGGTTGCTATTGTTGTCGCTGTTATTTGTTTTTGTGGTTTCGTTGTTGTTGTTCTTGTTCTGCTCCCTTTTCGCGAAGACTTGGCGAACATCGGGTGGTAACATGGCCCCCTTTTGATCCAACAGCTGCAGCAGAACCGATCGCACCCGTGTTCCCAAGTCTTGTCTCGCAAACGCTTTTCACTTCTAACGAATAGAAACGATATCTCCCTGAACTTCGCCAACAACTACGATGCCTACAACCATCAACAGTCGTCCAGCAAAAAGAGCGGCGGAGGAAAGGGCGCCGGCAAGAGGTCGACCGCATCGTCCTCTTCCGGTCAGCCAGGGTCCATGGGGACGGGAACTGGCGCTCCAGAAGCAGCAGGTGCGGCTTCGGCACCAGCCTCTGGAGGCTCCGCCGCTGCCGCCGCTGCTACTGCGATGGCTTCGCCAGAGACAACGCTCGCCGACCTTCTCCGAAAGAGGGAAGATGAGGTGGAACGGCGACGCACGGACCCGGTCACCGACCTGCACCTGTGGACGTTCTGCCGCAAAAACCCGCTTGGGGACGGAGGCACGCTGCCGATCGACGAGCCGGAATGGCCAGGGCCGCTCAAGGAGGTGATGATCAGCCCACGCTGGTTTGATTTTGTACACGTTTGGTGGATTTTGAGGAGGACAGGTATGCTGGAGGAGGGAGGTAAAGCTTGCAGGCATAGGAGGTTGCAGGCTGCATGCGGCGATAGGTGGTGATGTCGCCGTGTTATTGTTGTCCGTGGCTGCTCGTTGCTCGTTGCTTAGTTGGTGTGTGTGGTGTCACGTCGATCTTGGATCTTGGTTCATAATTTGATTAGTCACGTTTCACGACTGGACCAGCATGTTGCGGTGGATTCAGCGACGCTTGACCCTCGAACGTTTCTCCATGGCCTCAGCGGTAGCTTGTTGGCATGGCATTTGCTTATTCTCCATTTCCCCCCCTACAATGAAGTAGCAGGTATTGCAGCTGTGGCGTTTGACTCAGCGCGTGTTTCTCATTTCCTTCGCGTACCCTCGTCTTCCGTCCTTTTCGGTATTTTGGTCCAATCAATGTCCATAATATCGGATTTGCACCGTGATCTACATGCAGCCCACCCCTTTTGCATTGATTATCGCATCCCAGCTGGCTCTTGGACCTGTGGTTCAACACGCTCGGGTTGAAGTCGGAAGTAGACTGATTAGCGTAGATGTTAGCGACTATTGCATACTCTGCCGTTGTTGTATAACATTGTTGAAGTAAAGTCCATTTGTAGATGTTAGCGACTATTGCATACTCTGCCGTTGTTGTATAACATTGTTGAAGTAAAGTCCATTTGTAGATGTTAGCGACTATTGCATACTCTGCCGTTGTTGTATAACATTGTTGAAGAAAAGTCCATTTAATCAGCAAAGAGAGCGCCACACCAAGTACTTGGAATCATCGTACTACATGTCTATCAAGTAGTAGAACTAAACTCCAAGTGTATCGGCGCTTGACACCATCAGGTGATCGTGGAGAACGTGTCGCAGCCAACCCTCGACAACCTGCACGAGGCCCTGGGGAAGGCCTACGGGATACCAGCGAGTCGGGTGCGGGCTATCAAGCACAACTGGGGCAAGCACCAGTGGGTTCGCCTCACGCGCGAGATGGGGATAAAAAAGGTGAAACATGAAAGTTGGCGTTTTTGCTGTTGTTATCTGTAGAATTGGACGGGCTTTGTCAGGTTTGATAGCCTTGCTGTGTGTCCCACCGTGCGCAAACAAGTGCTAATGATGTTTATGGAGCACACCGCGCAGAAACTATTTTTGTTTGTCATGTTTTGAAGAGGGTCGTCTTTTGTCGCGTGTCGGTTGTGAAGAAGTTTGATGGCGTACCTACTCAGACCGTTTCCGTCCCGAGGTATGAAAATATTTTACATAGCTTGACGAAAGTCCTGACGTACTTAGCGTCATAGAGGGCATTGGTGATGAGGTCATGAGGTCATGAGGTGACGAGGGGGCTATCGACCCCCCGGACCTCTGCTGTATTTCGTCATGGTGCGAAGCAAGAAAGCAGCAGGTTACGAGTTATGATTCGGCATCAGTGCCCCGTCATGGCACGCCAATCCATGCCATGAATGCCATGCCGTGAAAACTACCCAGTTTTTGACAATCTCTCTCTCTCCCTCCCTCTCTCGATGTGTCACCCATCTTTACCTGCCTCTAGCAATTGAGACCGATCTCTCATGTACACGGTCCCTCTCTCTTCTGTTTCTTTTTGCAACTTGCTCTCAGATGAAAAAGGGGAAGAAGGGCAAGCGTTTGGTCACCAACCTCCGAGAAGCACCGTACTCGTTCAAGGACGGGGATGTCGTGGCGGTGGTGGACAAGATGGAGGACGAGTCGGGAGAGGCCGACCTTGCGAGGGCAGACGACGAGGCGAGTGCTTCGGTTTTGCTTTAGGGTTATGGTAGAGAAGTAGAGAAGTGCCGGTCAAGGACTGGGCGACGTGACGAGGGTAGACGACGAGGGAAATGGTAAAAGGGCCAGGAGTAGGCTTAGGGTCAGGCTTAGGGCAAACAAGTGCCGGTTAAGGACGGGCAAAACTCACAAGGGGAGACGACGACGGGAGTGATAAAAGGCTAGGATTAAGCAACCAGCTTATGGTTAGGCTAGGACTAGCCTTGGTCTGAGGGTTACGTTAAATATGTACCAGTCAAAGATAAGGCCGACCTCACGAGGACAGGCGACGGGACGAGTGTTGTAGGGCGAGAAGCGTTGATTAAACGGTAGGGAGCGGCGATGTCACAGGTGTCTATTGCGGCGTGCGCTGCTGTTTCGATGGGTGTTGCTGGATCTTGAGTCAGGGTCGGCTGTGAGACTGGTAATAAATGGTACAGCATTCAAAGAAACATCGGTCGTGGCCTACACCGGCATAAGATAGTCTCGGACTCTTGGTACTGCTGTTGCATACTGTTGCACCGATTCCCGGTTGATGGTACGCATCCCTGCATTGAACAAAAATGTGCATGTGCTTGGAATGACCCGATCAACAAGGTATCCGCGTTTGACTCTTCGCCTAGTTGAATCTGCCCACTTTCACTGTCTGGCGCAGGCGTATCGAGAGCATGGAAAGGGGCAGGCGAAGGCAACGAAGGACAAGCGGAAGAAGAAGAAGAAGCCAGCGTCGAAGCGAGCCATGCCTGAGGTCGGGTTGACCTTGGGAGGAGACTGGGTGAGCACCAGCCAGGCTCGACATCGTTTGGACTGACACACACGTTCATTGTTTTTGATTCTCTGTTTTGACACGCAATGCTCGTCGTTTTTGGCGTTGCTAGGCGTCCGCTGTGCGCGTGTCTAGAGCGGAGTATTGTATCGGAGACTGGTGTAGAAGTAGAGATAGTCTTGTACATACATGTGTTGCTTGCCAATACCTGCGATACCGGTGTTGCAGTCCTGCACTTGGCTGGGGTGCAGCCGTACCCCAGTGGTTTTCTTTTTATGATGTTTTTTTCTGTGTGTTTATAGGTATGCGTACCATGTTTATGACATTTCTTGTCGGCGACGCATATTTGCAGACTGTGTTGACTGCCAATTCGTTTTCCTTGGCGCGCTCTTGGTATATGTTGTGATGCGTGGATTCATCGCTATAATCTGTCTACAGTACGCTGTCTAGTGCGCTGTCTAGTACGCTGTCTAGTATGCTGTCTGTCTGAAACTGAAACGCAGTGAAAAACCCCAAATACGTACTGTACGCTTGCATTCCTGGGGTAAGTATAACCTTTTCGTGGTATAATACTTGACCTTTTTTTTGTTCATGCTTATTTTTTTTGCAGGACGATGGCGATGACGACGAAGAGAGCGACGAGAGCGACGAAAGCGATGACTTGAGCGACATGCGCTTCTGATGAAGTGCCGCCACCCACCACCATCAGAGGCACACCCTGTCTTGAAGTTTGCTTGACGCAATATTTCAAAGCGGAAGGAACAGACGCGACCTTGAATTGAACATCCCATGAAATATCACATCCGGTTTGGTAACAACGGGGAAATGCCACCCCAAAGACTCTTCCGTAGATAGAACGGTGTCGCCAGTTACCAATGACTATACAAGAGCCAGTGAGCAGGTCTGGAGTGCCCTCCGGGGGTCTCCACTCGCGGAGTCTGTTGGTGCAGTCTCACATTAGATTAATCACATTAGGATCAGCACCGTCTCGGTGCTCTGGAGGCACGTGGTGCCACAGAGGAAGACTCAGTCGCACGCCCGTGTCCACGAGATGGTGGCTGGATGGTTGTTTGTTCATCCGTCGTCTGTTGAAGGGGGGGTGCAACGTCTTTGTTCCGGATAACCGCCGGGCATGCTTTCTGTCTGTGTGCTCCCCTCCCCCGGCGAGATGACGCAGGGGGGGGCAGACCAGGCCGACTGTAACGAACGGTGATTGAAGAAGACAGCGAGCGGCCGCTATGTATGGCGATTGCTACGCATTATATTTCCATCTTTCGCTTGGGCTGGTGGCAGCTGCTTGATGTTATTTGCATAAGTTCTTTGTTACCCGTTTAGTAGTTGGAAACGAATTGCGAGCAGGTGCTCACGATTTCGGGGTGCTGTTTTTTTCCTCGGGATGACAGGACCACTGATGATTTACGAGCTGTGCCGCCTGTAGACTGTGTTGCTCCCTTGCGGTGCGTGCGTTTTTTTTAACTGTTGCTTCCATGTGTGGAGCGCACAAATTGACGTAAATCTCGATGTGGAATCCATGCCATACAAGCGTGCGATGGTGACCCTTAATACAGCAGATCTGCAGTAGAGACGGTTACTATACTGCCACGAGCTAAATCGCTCTAATCCGTATGCTTCTGCTGACACGTCGATGGCGTGCTTTTTCTCAGCTTGTGTAGGCAGAAGTTTCGCTTCTCATATATGCTACGAGCACACCGCGACGAAGGGTTTCTTGCAGTAAAAAAATGTTGTTGCCGAGAAGGAAGGTGCCACAAACCTTCTCTATGATATCTTCTGTTCATCAGCTTGGTGTCCCAGGCCCGAATCGCTGAGCACTGAATGAACGCAACGGGGGACGGCCGCAAAGCTCGCCTTGGATTGTGATCGCCCTACGGTAGTCTACATACGATCAAAATACCTCAGGCAGGAACCGCAGGAGGGGGTCCAGCACCCCCTTCCTATGTGACCCCGGTTGGGTCGTCTAGCTAGTAGAATTGGAGGATAGGGGCCAGAGGGGCAGACGACAGAGTCCAATGATGGGAGAAAAAAAAAAAAACATCACATACGCAGGTGGGCTCGCTTCACCACGTACTCTGAACTACCATAATATCTACTTCTGCTGCTGCATCCCGTTGAACCCATCTTTGGTCGGCAAATGAGCAGTACGTATACGTGTAGTCTATATGGCAATTCAAGTTTATGTTGGCTAATTCTGCAGCTCTTAGCGGAAGACACACGGACGACGAGTTCCTGCGAGGACGGGTGTTACTTGCTCTACAGCAGGCACCGGCACATTCATTCGCCGAAACCTCACACACATGTGCATGTGTGTGCATAGATCGAGAGCAGATTTTGATGCAATTGTCCACGGCAGAATTAATTTTAGGAACGAACGGAAAGTCACCACAGCTACTCTTGGTCTTTGTCTAGTCTAATGCTGCAGTTACCTTCTCGTTTCGGTGTGTACTTGTGCAGCGGACTTGGGAAACGCTTGTATGCACAAGAACCTGAGATAGATGCATAGACTATAGTCTACTGACTTAGCTCATGCGAGAGCAGCAGAGAGCAATAGAGGGCTGCGAAATACTCTCGGTAAGGGTGCATCCGAAGGGTATGTGTGTGCGGGCGTCGATGATGGGATGGCCCATGGCTTAGCGAGAAAATATGGTCATGGAACGACGGTCTCATTACATGACAGACGACATGACGACATGCGATGGCATGATGACACATCCATATTCCATATATAAGACGAATGACGACATCGCTCGCAAGTCCCGAAGCGTTTTGGGTTAATCCGCCCGCCGCAGCTGCGCAGCTGCCTCTTTTTTTTTTTATTTTTCCAAATACAACACAACGAGTCCATTTCCGTCAGAGAAAAGAGTCAAAGACAGATTAGCAATGGAATCATAGCGTCAAAGAAAACTACCTGTTGTGTGTCCACGATTTCCCAGACAGCATATATGGACATCTCCCCTGCGGATAACAGGCTCAACAAGACAGTTTGGTAGCTGTGTTGTGTGTCTTATATATGTTATGTTGGGAAGGTGTAGACGAAAAGTGTTGGGCTGTTAGTTAGTTGGGTGTTTTATGTGTGGCACCCTGTTGGTTGTGGATCTCCATCCATTTTACACGTGTATTTCCAGTTTGGTATGCATTTAACGCGAGGAATATGATTTGGTAAGTAATTGAGTTTGGTATGCATATGCATGCATCTGTGTCAAATTGTGCGGCACACGGGAGTGGTCTCCCAGTTTTGTGTAATTTCATGCCCATAAATGTGCGAAGGGCACGGGAGAACATTCTTTCATCATTGCCTCCTGACGTGGTCGGTCGTAGGTAAGGCGTGTGGTTGAGGTTCCATCACCGATATGTGGGTGTTCGTGTGTTCAAATGTAATGGGTTGGTCATCTCTCTCGTCCGTGTGTAGGCAGGGAGTATGGTTATATCTCTCCCCTCAGTGGGCAGCACAGACCATATGTAAAGAAGAGTTGATCATTTCGTGCATAATACATCATTTATGTTTGGCACGACAGGAGGAATGAGATTTAGTTGTTCTGACATTTTGACGGTGTACGTGGGTACGGAAAGTACTCCCTGTGTCCGTGATGTTCCCTGATGTTGTCGCATCGAGTGGCAGCATGTGCCAAGGACAGGTAGACGTGGAAGGACGGCGACAGGTGAAGGGCAGCAGTAGTAGTGTGTTGTGCATGGTGGCTTGTTGGCTTGTACAGAGACCAGTACATCTTCGACCGACCACACATAAAGAGTTTGTTCGTACCTGTGGGGATTTTTTGGAGTCCTGGGTCAGCCGAGAGCAGCAGCAAGGAGCAGATACGATGCAGTGTACTCTACAGCTTTACAGTCCGTCCTCCTCAAGTCCTAGCGGAGATGATTAGTATCGCACAACGGCTGGATCCGAAATGCCGGCTAGCTCCGAAAACCAAGAGAGGTGGGTGGCTGAGCTAAAACCGGAATGACTGCATGCATGCGTGCTCCTCTCAGCAGATGTTGCTGGCTGGCTCTTTGAAGTGCAGATTTCTGGTTCAGCAGAATTTGATTCCCAATTTTTCCGTTGTCACCTGGGTACAGGGGAATTTTTGAGAGGTGTACGGAAGTTGATGAATTGTCCTACTTGCAAGGGACACGTTTGATTTTCAGTGTTCCCCCTTGCGGTTTCGACGGTCAAAATTGTGGTTACCCACAAATTTTCGCATCGCTATAAGCCATCAGGCTTACTAAATTACGTGTGTACAGAGTTTCGTTAACGTTAAAGAGTAAATCGAAAGGGATTTTTATGTCGTTAATACACACCAAGCGTTCTTATTTTTATTTTACATAGACATCACGATATATGGACATAACACAACAACATTACTCCAGCTCCACAAGGAAACGGGACATTTACCAGTGACTAAAGTAAAACGTAATGCCAAGCAGATTAACTCACCACAAAGTCCTTAGCATCGATTCGACTCCAAATACCCAACTTCACTTTCTCCCAGTATGAATTCCGCACCATAGGCGCATTTACACCCACGATGTTTGCAGTCACTGGCGAGGTGCGAAAAAAGGTATACTTGAAATTATGTAAAGTATTACGGATAAGTCGACTAGAATAGAAACGTGCAAGCATGTCAGCTATCAATCTAGCTGTGGCAGCCTGGAAAAATCGAATATCAGTACATCTAATAGCGAATCGGCACATTTGACAATGCAACGTCGACATTTTACATCTAGTAGATAACACTGTTTCCCAATGTGGGAATGCCCGATACTGCTTCAACGTAGCCATATGTTGGCGCTTATTATACATGCCAATACTAGTCTTACCAGGAATGTCTTGCCCTATTTGCATATCCAGAAAATGTGCGGAGTCCCCACACTGTTCTTGGGTGATGCGAACGGGGTTGTCTATCTGATCACCACTCGTATCTAACACCATCTTTGGGTACATACCACCATATTCATTACCCTCCTTATATATAATATCTTCAAATGTTGGTCCAGTTTGGTTACCGTATCGCACCGTGAAAATGTCATCTATATACCTTTTTGTACCAATGCTATACTGCTCTATAAATTCAAATGGATACAACGATGTAGTCCCAGCGTGTGTAGCTGTTAAATACTCCTCCACCATTTCCTTCAAGAAATCAAATTCATGCATGAACGCAAAAATATTTGCTAGTTCGGGAGCTGGTGCCGTTCCCATAAAGATACCAGAGGCTTGTTGGTACATGCCGTTCCCAAATTGTACAAATCCTTCATCCAAAATAAAATCTATCCATTTAGAGACCCGTTCCCATCCAATGTAATTCGCTCGACCTCTGCTATATGTTGCGTTGCTCGGGTTTTCCTTCGACCACTCGGTATCCCGAACAAATGGAGTCTTGTTATCAGGCCCAATACCCCATCTCAGCTTCATCGACTTAAACCCATGTCTCTCAGCTTGGTGTTCAAACGACAGTTTCAAAGCTTCCCTCAATTTTTCCTTCAATGGTACGACAGGTATATTGGGGTACATACCAACGAAGTCAAATGTTTGGAAGACATGCGCATCAGTACATCCCTCCATTTGTGCTCGAATATCGATATCCTGTGCTACTTCTAGAATACTTTCCCCACTAGAGGTGATCCAACATTCCGTAGCAGTAATACCAACTTTTGCGCATTCTTCACGCCATATCGTGTGTAAACAAGGCCGAATACCACCCAGGACTGCGTTGACTATCTTAGCCACTCCTTCTGTTATCGTACCACAGCAAGATGTAATACCACGTGTCGCTATCAACGGCTTATGTAGTTTGGCAGTGAGGTATCTTGTGGGTAACTTCTCAGTGTTTTCATACTGAGTGTCACCATCCTCATCTTTGTACTGCCGCTGTGGGATGGGCAACTTCTCATCTACCAGAAACTTATGTTGTTGGTCAATGATCGTCTGTTTCACCGCCTCCAGCTCACCGTGTACTGTCCTATACCCCGGTCCTTCAAGTTCTGCTTTAGCTAACCGAGTATAACATGCCTTACATGTGATACAGATGCAGTTAGCCGCTTTATCGACTCTCGTAAACACCACCTTCTTATGTAATTGTTGGAAAGCTGTCCTAGCAGCAGTAAAATCTATGTGTCCTGTAAGAGGCTTATCAACCTCCCCCTTGTCCGCATCAGTCACTTTTTGTTCTATCGCTTCGTACAGAGCATTCTCCCTCTTTTTCTTTTTTTCCCATTTCGCCGCCTGCATCCTACATCTACTGCTGTCGACTGTACCAGCTGTTCGGCTTCGACCCTCAACCACTCCCCCCGGAGACGTAACTTAGTGTGCAGCTGCACCAGCATCCCAGGCCGTGAGGACGCACCGAGCCTCTACCAGACACCAGACGTGTTGCAAGCGGGATCGCCTTGCCAGCTCGCAGGTTGGAGCTTCGCGAAGACGTGCTGCTGCCGTCATCGTTGCCGGCCTCATCGAGATGGGTTCGCCGTTCGATAATGACGACAACCTGCTGCTCATCACACTGGCCGTGACGGTGGTGTTTCAACTGGCCTTCTTTTTTGTTGCCTTCACCTGCAAGTTTGACAAGGCAAGTCTGCCAAAGCACCTCCAAAAAGAAGCAGCCGAAAGCACGTACGTAGGACTGCGAGCCATTTTCGGGGGGACGAGGGGGGCGTTGGAAGGAGCAGCAGCAGCGCATCATGTCGTGCAGATATCCATTCGTGTGTGAGTCAGGGGTAATCGGCGTCGTGAACCCCCTCTCCACTTGAAGACTGGTGTCTTGCTGCTGTTGGTGATCTTTGAAGTTGGGTGAAGAAGGGCTGCACCTCTTGTAAATCTACCTTGTGTGCGCTCTTACCGCGTTTGTGACTCAGCACGAACAGCTCTGAACGCTGCTGCTGCTGTCGCCGTTTTCTTGAAGTCGTGCTCGAAGAGCGCCTATTGTATGCATATGTTGCTCTATCTGAGACACTTGAGTTCTTACGATCACCGCACTTGCGGATTTATCGCCCCCACCTCATTCCTACTTAAAGTCGTGTTTCTGTAAATACGTTGATTGCAGTAGGGTTCGTTGGATAGCAGATCCGCTCGAGGCAACCCACGTGTATGCTTCTGGTGATGGTGACTTCTGTGCCGCAACGGGCTAAAACAACTGTCTATGAACCTGGTGTGCGGTGTGTGTAGGCTCACTCGCTGCGTGTCCCTCTTCATTTTCTGAACCGGTTGTCTTGGCGTCTTGTACGTACGTACAACACAAAGTCTAACGCAGAAAGCAGCAAAGCAGCCGTTGGACTGCTTTTTTTCGGCAACGTTTTTTTCCAACATAACCCCAAAGCCCCATGCGGCATGAAGGGCGGGAGTGGTACTACAGCAGTTGTAGGAGTACCCTTACACAGGTGGAAAATAATGGTTATGAGACGTGAACACGGGCGCTTCACCAAAAAGTGTCTTCATCCAATCCGACGGTTGATGCTGTTCCACTTCTTATTGATGTTTCGCCTTTTCGCTACATACCCAGTTGTGTTGTTAATCCCGAGAAAGAATATCGCATGCGGCGTTGCAAGACATACCCTCCGAGTCTGGGCGTACTGTAGGTCGATGAACATGCTCGTAGGGTTAGGGTTAGGGTTAGGCGGTTATTACAGTCGCCCCATGGCAAAGAGGTCGTGTGCGGAGGACCGCATTCCCCGCAAGGACCACAGTTACGACGATAGCGATGAGTAGGGTGGCCCAGCTGACGCAGCGCCTGCGGTAGTTGGGATGTCTCCTGCACTTGGCAGGAGAGGCGTCAAGAGGAAACTCTCAACGTCAGTAGCTGTCGGTATTGGACAGAGGGCCTCTACATCAGAGACTCCCATTTTGTCTTGTCTCATTTCTCATCTCGTGTCTTATCCCGTGTCGTTCTCGTATCTTATCTGATCTCGTGTCTCATCTCGTGTCCAACGGGTGGCGGCTAACATCTATGACTTCGTCTTTTGACGGCAGGTGACCGACTTCGCTGGGGGAAGCAACTTCGTTGTGTTAGCGGTCCTGACTCTGATGCTAGGTGGCGAGTACTACATGAGGCAGATCCTAGTCACGGCAGCAGTGTGCTTGTGGGGCACGAGGCTCGCAGGTGGGGAATAATGCGACTATACTTAAACAATGTGCGTGTGTTGTTGCACATGTCGAAACAATATGCGTGTGTTGTAGCACATGTCGCGAGGTATCCTCATGAACTAACGTGCACGTCAGCAGGTAAAGCGACGCTAGCGAAAAGTGGCATGGCAACACAGGAGCATTTTGTTCATGAGCGGAATATGGCGCCCTTTTCTGTCATAAAGGAAACAGGGAAGGGAATTCTGAACCCTTCTCGCGTTGAAATTGAAGGAAAGCAACGTACGGGGAAGATTCCAAGGTCCGGAGAAAAACTGCTGTGTTAACCTTTCTTTCACGTTTCTCCTGGCTGGTGCATCAAGTTTTATGACGACAGGTTTAGACTAGCGCCCAGAATATAGGAACGTGAGCGCACACACAGTGCAACACACGCGTTTTGGTGACTTGGTGGCTTAGCAACGGAACCAACCGCCGTTGATGCACAGCCACGCGTCAAGATTGTCAAGATTTCGACAACAGGTCATTGACAAGTCCTGCTCAACAAGAAGTACCATTGATGCAGCTCGTTGTTAGTTTCGGTCGCTCTCGCACAAACGAATGTTGATTGTATCACCATGTAGTGTAAAATATGAACGTTGCCCTACATTGTACTGCAGCAGTGCACACAGGGTGCGAAGAGGAGCAGCCCTTCACCCAACTACATGCATGGCGCTTAACATCCGCCTTCAAGTGGAGAGGGTGCGGAGTGCCCCTGAATCACACACGAATGGACGTCTGCGCATGCGCTGCTGCTGCTGCAACCCCCCCGCCCCCGCCCGCCCCCCCCCCCCCAATTGGCGCGCAGAGTCCCTACGTATATGCCTTCGGCTGCTGTNCCCCCCCCCCCCCCCCCCCCCCCCCCCCCAATTGGCGCGCAGAGTCCCTACGTATATGCCTTCGGCTGCTGTTGCAGCTCCTGTAACCGTCGCGCCTTTTTTTTTTGTGTGTCAGGGTGGTTGTTGTATCGTGTGATCAAGATGGGGAAGGACGACCGTTTCGACGACACGAGAGAAAACTTCTTCAAGTTCCTCGCCTTCTGGGTGTTCCAGGTATATTAGCAAAACTGTAGTGTCACTTGTAAGTCCAGGGTGTCCTTTCTGTCTGCTCGAATGACACGTCACTCTAACAAGCGCAACACAGGATGTCCACCAAATTTTGTTGTCTTGTGGGTCCTGTTTCTCATTGTACCTGCAGGGGAAATGTTTCTGTAACTATTGCTCCGGAGCACTATGTTTTTTTGCTTGACGGCTTCTTCGGTCCCTCTGCTGCTCGTCTACGCCTTGATCACTAAACCGTACTAGCATGTTACGTGTTTTTTTCCTTCGGCTCGCTTGGCTGTTTTGGATCGCCTGGAGTTGCGCTCAGTACATCCACAAGCCCTTCCATTCCTGCACTACGTGACACGTAACCCAGCAGTACATGTCTCGACATATCGATGGAGTTTTTCGCTGCTCTCATCACACCAGCAACACAACCAATACGCCCACTATTCGTTTTCGCACGGTAGATGTGGCTTCATGATTTTTCGAAGTCTTTGCTCTGTTGATCTTATCCCGGTTTTTGCAATCCCTCTGCTGATTGGGGTGACGTTTCCGGGCAGATGATCTGGGTGTGGTCCCTTAGCCTCCCGGTGACCCTACTTAACTCTACTGTGGTCAACCCCGATCGTTCCGCGAGGGATATCGCCGGAGCCGTGATGTTCGTGATTGGATTCATCTTCGAGCTCGGCAGCGACGTCCAGAAGGATATCTTCAAGGTGTGTGGTGTGTATATATCCGGGCTGGTTACTTCTTTTGTGAATTCCAAAGCTCCCCGCTCCCGCCCCCGCCGCCTCGTGCTTTGGGGCGTGACGTGTTTGGAGAAAAAGGGTGCGCTTGTGAGTAATTTGGACACCGTGTTGGTGTGTCTGTCTGATTTTTCTCTGTCACAATGTTTGAAATCTATTCTAGCGGTGGGTCGAGTCGAAGCTATTGGAGGAGAGAGCTGGACTGAGCTTCGTTACCCCTAGGTCTGCGTTGCCATTCAAACATCACCATGTTTGATTGTGTTGGCTTGAGTGTTTTGGTGGAATCCTGTGGTTGTCATCTCACATTTGTTTTTTGTTTCATGGCACACAACCGATGGGTGCTGATCCATTGGTCTTACCGGCATCAAACGTCAAGACTGCAGCCAGTCCTCGCTCTATGTCGCAATAGTCCTCTGGACATGAATATTTTTTCTGTGTGCCGTTTCGTTTTGGTTTGGGTTCTCGTCGCGTCGATAGTTCGTGGGTGTGGGTTGGTCCCATTTTTTTCTGGAGCCAGTCTGCACACCTCTCGGTGTAGATGTTTCATGTTTGGCGTATCACCCGGGGTCACACAGGAGGTGGCACATGTTTGTTTTTTGCGCCCCACGTTCCCTCCTGCGATTGCAGGTGCCTCAGTTGTTTTTTTTAATGTGTGTGATGATTATTCGATTCCACGGCGCCGGCTCCGCGTGCGTCTTCCATTGTGCCTTGCCTGTCGTACTGCTAAAAATTGTTTCTGTACTCCCGCAGTCCAACGGGGGGAGAGGAGTCTGCGAAACAGGCCTGTGGAAATACTCTCGCCACCCGAACTTCTTCGGGGACCTCATGCAGTGGTGGGCGATATTCACCGTGTGTTCCACGATTTTCGGGCCCGCGGCGGACGCTGGGGAGGCGGACTGGGGGTACGCTACCATCTGCGGCCCCCTGTTCCTGACGGTAAGCTGCCGGGAAAGCCATGGTGTCGCTTTGTTTGGCCTTGGCGACTCGATTCATGGTGTACCGTGTCGGCTCACGGTTTACCGTCTCGAATCACGGTGTACCGTCTCTATCCATGTTGTGCCGTCTCGACTCACGGTGGCACGAGTGCAAACTTGCAGGTGTAGAGAATAAACAGGGTAGCTCGTCCGCGTCAGAAAGCAATTGGCTCGAGAATAGGCTTCGCGCGCACACGAAGGATCGATATCTGGACTGCGCCTGCGCCAATCTCCGAGCTGCCGTAGGGGGTGAAAAGCACGTGCCCTGCTTGATATCTGACTCAGCCTTGAGGGCAACAGCAGTCAGCCTTCACGATAGTATTTACTTGTTCGGGCAGGTTGTTCCGTATGGTACGCTTCTTCCGGTTTTTAGTTTTGCGACATCACTGCTGTAGCGCCAGTAGCTTTGAGCGAATCACTGTACCAGATTGGCGGTATTGCCTCAAGAGTTTCCCCGCTGGTCCTCCCTCCCAGCACTCCAGCACTCCAGCACGCACACGATGATGTGGTGGGTGTGATGGACTGATCGACGTAACTCTGTCCTGTCGCTTATGTCAGTGCTATCTGATGCGAAACGTACTCTACTCCTACAATACTTTCCAATTACACGAGTGAAGTGCACCTTGGGTCTCCTCCCTCTGTTGGCAGGTGCCGTCTAATACCCTCGTGTATATTGCTTCCGATCCGATTCTTCCGTTGCTGCCATTTTTTTTTTTTTTGTGCCCTTGGTCGTGAAAACAGGCCATTTTGCTCTTCGGCAGCGGGATCCCGACTGTTGAGTCGAGCTGGATAAAGAAGTACGGCGGGACCGAGTCCTTCTGGGCCTACAGAGAAAGGACGTCCATCCTCTTCCCCATGCCTCCCGGTAAGGGGTCTATCTGTCTCCGTTGTGGCAAAACTAAAACTACCTGTGTACACCTGGCATGGATTGTAGGATGTCAGCTTAGCACTGGATGGTTGGAACGCCCTATTAGAACAAACATCTTCCCTGGTACGACGCTGGTCGCATGAACTTACTATCTGGATTTTTCCACATGACGTATGTAGGCAGGTTGTACTCCCAAGTGTATCGCACACGAAGCGATGTGTTTGGCTTGCTTGTTGTGTGCAAGCGCTGAAAGATCGAAGCCCCTTGCGGTGCTTCTTGAAGTATGGACTAATATGGTCGTGTCTGCCGTGCCGAATGTGAAACGTTTGGTCAGCCGGGATGCCCAATCAACCCGCTGCCTATCTGGTTTGACGCAGCAAACGCAAGGATGATTAGCAGCTTCTTGGCTCATCCTTCTGAAACGTAGCATGGGCAAGCCACATATCGCGCCGTCTCGGCATTGTAGGGATGTAAGGTCAATGGTCTAACGACTACGGCATGCGTGTACATGACTACACCCCCCCCGTATTCCCCCCAATCCCCCCACTTTACGTAACCCCCTAGCAACCCAGACCCCGTCGTACACGGCAAAACGTGCAGTGTACATCCTTGGTCTTGAGGAAGTCAAGTGAAGTGCGTGTTGTTCTATATATCGGCTAAATTTTCAACCTTAATCGTACCAACCTGCAGCAGCAGTGTGTACCGGCGTCTCCATTCATACCGATCTCCTCGCTGTGGTTAATGTCGACTGTTTCGTTTCCTGTCGTTTTTCTCGTCTGTTGTTGTTGTTGTTATTGTTGTTGCAGTTCTGTTCGAGCCCTTGCCGCAGGTGGTGAAGGCGTGGCTCTTTCTCGAGTGGCCGTTCTACCAAGGTGCAGCAACCAGACCCCATTCTGCTGCCTCTGAAGAGAGTGTCTTCGGGCCTACCTCAGAACTTCCATGAAGATGATGACCGATGACCGCACCGCTCACGTCCATACCGTAGGTGATACAAGATACTGCTACGGACACCGCCTGGACCTGCTTTCAAAGCTCGATTGTCTCCGCGGCAGAAAGAGGGGCACCGCCGAAAACGGCGGCGTTGAAGCCGTTTGCCTCGTTGAGAGCTTTCCGAACACACATCAATTCATCCTTGTGCGCTCTCTTCGTTGTGGAGAAGTCGAGCTTTGAGAATCGGTCCAGGGGGGTGGTATCTTCTGTCATACCGCCTACAAGATGAGATGGTTTATCTTGTGAGCAAAGTAGACTGACAGACGGACGGAGAGAAAGAGAGACACACGTGCAGAAAAGTCTATCCGTGGAACTGTGTGGATGCTTGAAATCTGGCTAGAATGTGGATCAACTCAAGGGTCGCATGCAGGATTTTTTTTTTTCCTTCTCTGTCCAGTATGCGGGGATGTAGTTCAGCCACACACACGTCCGGTAGCTTGGTAGCTCTACCAAAGATAGTGCCGAGGCGCTCATGATGGTCTGGATTGTGCTTTAGCTGTGCTAGGTGACTATCTTTTTTGCGCCTTTTGCGGTTTATGTTTCTTTTATGATCCCGCAACAACGCAATGATCACAGCAGTGTCGGATAGCAGTACTTTGGCTTTGCTTGAGCAGTACTGCTGTATATTTGATTGTGCTTGTAGGTGTGACGTGACCCTTGTCATCCTCACCCATTCGCACTCCTGATGACGTCACCTCCATGGTATGCATATGCAAATTCCCATGTAGCACAAAGATTCTGTTCCTTGGCACAGCAGTAGTCTACTAAGTATGATATCGGTCCGAAGCACGTGTGCTTCTACGAACACATCCACCCTTCTTACGAATGATGTACCGCTGCTATCGTGCCCTGTGTTTTCATCTCGACTGAAGTTTCCTTGCTTGTCCCCTCCTTCTCCTGTGTTGGTTGCTGCCCGTGCCCGATGTTGCCTCCACTGCTGCTTCTGCTGCTGCTGTTGCTCTCGCTGTTGTCGCTGGTTGGACGACGATGCGATGGACGGCGGATCGGTTTGATCGCGGATGATGGTGCTACCCCTTGCTCGCGAACACTACTGTTCCCTACCAACTTGATCGGTTTCCTTCGCCGATTGTGCTTGGTGGACTGGTTGGAATTTTGGTTGGCGGATAAATCCGCGGGTTTTCCCGGATTCACACTACCTACATTGTATTCCATACCGTGTCGTATCACCAACTTTTCCGCCGCTGTTAACAATTCTTTGGCTTGCATTTTTCTTCGTTTTGTTGCATTGCTTCTGCGTTTGTGGTTTTTGCTTGATGGTGTTGATGTATACTTTGTGGTTGGTGACAGTGGCGACGAAAGAAGAGTTTGCCCCTGATAGCTACCGGGAAGCCCCGCAGTCCTCCTCCGATGAAGCCGATGAAACCAGCTTGTAGAAGGCTCTGGGTTCGAGTCTCCTGAAGGCCACTGCTAGTGTCTCTTGTAAATTTTTGTCGTCTTACATTTCGTTGCACTTCTACTGCTGTACGTCGGCGACAGCAAGAGGAAGCAGCCCCCAATTTTCTAGGCTGAATTGAAGTAGGAGTCAGGAGTTTGTTGCTTTGCATTTGTTGGCCTTTTGCATGTTTGCCTATCCGCTCGAGACGGACGTCCAGTCATGGGTCATGAATCACCCGGCTTGTTGTTCGTTTCGGCATGGATTTAGGTTTGATGGTTACTCATGTGCTTTGTCCTGTTCGTGTGGTTTTTTACTGGCGTTAGGGTTAGACTTGAGCTTGTCAAGCGAGTGGTTCGTATCTCGTAAAGCGTCGGTGTCCTTGTCTCACGTTCTCAAAGCGAAGCCCTACGCGAACCTGGCAATTTTTTCGTGGTGGTTCGTTGTACGCAAGACAACGTCGGCCGCACCAAAAATAGTCGGAACTTTTTTTTTTCAACGGTCGGTTAGTTTGTTGGTCGCTATGGACGGCGTCGCCGCTTTGTCCATCCAAACATCCAAACCCCACCGGATTGACCAGGTGACTGCTTGTGGCACACACAGTAGACTGTGCATAGTCTATAGCTCCAAGGGGTAATACTACGTTCGGTGCACCGACTGCCCTAGGCTTGCCAATAGATTTCGTCGACGTGCACGGGGAACATCGAGACATTTGATACACGTGTCGTGTGTGCGTGGCTGCCGGGGAAGGGGAAGGCGTTGAGGAAAGCGAATCAACTACCCTTAATCTCGGGGGAGGGGGGGGGGGGGGGGGGGG